CCCCAAAACCCCAAAACCCCAAAACCCCAAAACCCCAAAACCCCGTTTTATAATAAATCAATTGAAAGCTTAAAAATAACATAATATGAATCAAGCTTTTAGCCACTTAATCTGTTGTCAGCTTGGTTCAAAGTTCTTTGATCTGGTGCAGCCCCTCAGCTCTTGCAGTGTGGTATGTCTTTGTGATTATGGTTCCCATGTTATATGCATTCACAAACTCTTTCAGCTGCACCTGCGCCTGCTGCCCAATCAGAAGCACAATCTCGAGTATTTCTTTAAGAGCCCACACCAGCGTCTTCGAACCCTGCAGGTTGTACGGGGCGCCATGAATTGCTTTGTGAGACGAGTTCTGAGGGTAGCACTGGCTGTTGCTTGTGCCTGACATGTCGCCGCTGCGGCGGCCCTGAGCATCTGTCTTAAACCTGTCCGAGCTGAGGATGCCTGTGATCTGGTAAATGATGCTCAGAATAATGGAGTCTGTTCAGGAAATCACAGAGGCCACTCTGGGAGATATCCTGACGATTTCTTTGACGAGCGGCAGAATGTCTACATACTGCTGCAGACTCAGGATCTTCTGCTTCGGAAAAGCAAGCTTAAACAGACTCTGCACGTTGTCTGCATCTGAAAGAAACTCTTCGATCCTGAGCGAGTCGATCTTGGACCAGACCACGAGCGCCTCAAACACTTTGACGATGAGGCCATGGTCTGTTCGGTTTGCAAGTCCGATGAACAAGTAGGGCCCGTTCACCGCTGTCCACATGAAGTCTCTAACTTTGTCGGATCAGCGGATAAACGCTATCATGATTTCAATCACCAGAGGCTTGAAGTGGTCGTCTGCGTTGTAGCCGAGCTTGAGAAAGCCTTCTCCTATTGTCTTCAGACAGGCTGTCTGCGAGATGCTTCAGTACTGCAGCAGCTGCTTGAGGACTTCTTCGGCATACTGCTTGCGCACTTTCACCAGTTCTTCGTACTCATCCGGACTGATGGTGTTGTGCACTTCGTCTCGGAGCTTGATGGTTTCGTCCGCACTCAGTCTGTACAGGTGCATCAGAGCTTCGATGACTCCTTTATTTGAGCAGCTTTTCAGCTGTCTTCTTGGGCTGGAAAGCATTCAGAATGGTCTTGAAGATGTTGAGAGTGGCATCCGAGTTGAGGTTAGCAACGTTCTTCAGGTACCCCAGCAAGTTCTCGAGTATTTTGCTGTCTCACAGCAGAGTCTTGACTCTGGCCGAACTCACTCAAGAGATTTTCATGATGAGTTCGACAGCCTGACTGAAGCACTTCAAGTAGGGTCCTTTCTTTATGCCATGCAATGTGTCGAACAACACAGAAATGCGTTCGAATATGCCTTGTCTGATCAGGCTGATGGCCAGGTCGTATTTGTTGAGTGAGACTCTCTTGAAGAACTCGTTGAAAATGTCAAGGCTGATCATGACAACATCTTTGGGCTCATCTTTGTTGCAGTAAATGTTGCCTGCAAATGCGGGCACTCACCCTGATGAAACCAGCATCTGGACCAATATCTCTTTTGGGCCGTCATCATCTACAGTTACTTTACAAAGTACCTTCGGGACGCTTTGCAGTGAGGATTTTGCACATGAAGTAACACACTTCGTTTCTGATGTCTGGAGAGAAGTCTGCGAGTCCGAACTACAGGTTATTACAAACGTACCGAGATGATGTGCTGAAGGAACCCAGCCATTCACATTCGCTCGAGTCTTGCGAAGTTTCTCTAAAGTTGAGATTGTATCTTACATCGTCATCAGACTCAGCAAGAGCGTTTCAGACTTTGAGAAGGTACAATGTGACTGTGTTATTCTCAAAGCTGGCTTCGTCGAATAGCATGAGAATCAGAGTGAGTCCCTCATTTTCTACGAAGTAAGATCGAAGGTTTTCTCTGTTCGGAGACTTAGCTAGAATGTGCTCCAGATTGGCAAGATGAGTAATTATTTCGCTTGTTTCTTGTTCATTGAGATTGTTCTGTCCACTCAAGCTGATTGAAGAGTTGGCTAGATTAGATGAGCTGCCGTTGGAAGAGATTCTGGATGTGATGTCTTCAAGACTATCCATAACCTACATTTAAGACTAATGTTACTTGGATCAAATCATGTATTTGCAGAGTATCATGAGTTGATATGTCACTTCCCATTCTTTGCTTTTGGTGTTGAATATTAGTTCTTATACCATAATTAACTAAATTTTAAACTTCTATTGGCTACTTATTCCTATCGGCTGTTTCATTTCTTCCATCTGTATTTCTGACATTTTCCTTGTGTCTATTGTTAAGCTTGAAGTCTTACCAACATTGTGAAAATGGTGATCTCTTGAGTTTCTGTTTCCAGTATGTCTCCTGCTTACATTAATACTTGTAGTATTGCCCTATTGTTAGTTGTTCCTTAAGTTACCTTGGTTGTATAAAACATACTACTTTTATCATCATGAATAGAATGAATGTTTTCTTGATCAGTCATATCACTAATATTGTGCTTAACTTTATGAGGATAAAAATGATTCTTTTTCATATAAACCATGCTTTCTCTGCTTTGGCCTCCACCGCTATTGCTCCCACTCCCACCACTTTTATAGTTGCGCTCCACATATTTCTGGTAGTCAGACTTTATTTGCCTTTGGTTGTGGAGATCTTGGGATGTATTAGTCATTCCTCCATTTCCACTATGAGGAGAATCATAGTTAGAATTCTTATTCATCTTTCTCTCTTCTGTCTCTGAGGAATGTAACATTCTGTGTGAATTCTTTATGAATTTCTTCTTGTGGAGTTTCAGGTTTTTCGAACTCATATGCTCAGGAGCTACATAGAATATTTCGAAACAATACCTTTGTAAAATAGCTTTGGCTCACTGTTGCCTGGCTTTGATGTCTTTGTGAACATTTGTTGTCCTAGGGATTATTTTAGAAAATACCAATATCATACGTATTTCTTTGATCATTGTAATTATTCGCAATCATTCTGTTAGTATATTTATTTCGGGAATTTCCTTCGTGGTGGATAATAGCTGGATCAGTGTTGAATAATTCTAACTTTGCATGCCCTCGTCCATTTCGAGAGGAATTGTTGTAGCTAATGTTTTTGTTCAACCAATCAGCCTCTCCAGCATTGTATCTATATGTTTAGTAAAATTAATACCCTGAGTTATTTGATGGAACCTTTGTGTGGTGAGGACTCAAACTATAGTTTGATTTATCTATCTGCATTGCTCCTCTGGAAGATCCTGAATAATGCTGTTGCTGATCAATTGAGTGGAAATCTGTCATCTGGTTACTCTGATTTAACTGATAACCTCTTTCATAATAAATCTTATTCTTAGTCTTTCACATTCTAAAAGTATAAGCCTATCTTTTTACTTCATGTATTCATTTCTCTCAGCATTTTGGTCTTCTTGAGTTTCTCAAGATCTCACCATCTAGAAATTATGAATATAAATACCTTTTGCTTGAAATTCCTATTCCTACTATCATTTGGCAAAGCAAAATCTGGAAAATTTGGATTAGCAGATCCTTTCCTTTCTCCAAAAGAGGCTTTGTTTAGCTCCATTTGTTGCATTTCAACACCTCAATCTTGGCTTAAGGCATTCCTGTCTTCAGTTTTAGGCTTAATCTGCCTATATGAAGGGTGCCCAAATTCTGATTGATTCGAGGTGTTATTAGGATGCTGAGATTGAGTATTAGGAACCCCTCCAGATCCATTGCTTCCTTTATTAGATCCTGCGAACCCTATAAGAGGGTTTTCTCGTCTGAGATCAGTTGGAAGTCCTTGTGCTGGCATTCCTCCTCTGCTATTATGATTTTCTTGGTGATTCATAGGAGTGCTAACTATTTCTTCCATATTTCCTGTATTATACATTTCCTTGATGTAAAAGTAAAAGACTTACAATATTATTAGGATTTCCTTCATGTCCTGGATACCGTATCTTTTGACCATAATCTTGTCTTCTAGGTGGATCTGGAGCCACATTTTGAGAATCAAACAATGGGTTATTTTAGAATAGCTGGAGTCTTCTTATGCCGAGATTTAGATTCTTCCATTTTTGCTTGGTTTTCCTGCTCTTTTCTTAAAAATTCGATCTGCTCTTGGCTGAGTTTCTTTTTACTACCCATAAAGCTATTTTGAGGGAGATTTTTGATACTCAAATTTTCTACCTCTTCGGTACTGAGTCGGGGGACTATAGATGAACATCAGCGGGTATACTTACATTTCTTCATAGTAATCCTTTTCTTGTCAATACCTTTCTTCTTATACTCTCCTAACTCAATTTGAGAGCGATAGTTCTTTGCCATTTCTGCTTTTCTCTCTAAATTTGTTGAATAATTCAAAACTGCTTACTGTTTTGAGTGATCCAAGGATGCTTGGAAAGCTCAATTGCACTGCTTCTCTTGATTGGATCTTTCTCAAATCAGTGAGCCAGGAAGTCTTTTACATCCTATATAGATGACTCAGTTTGGCTACCTCTCCTAGTTCTTCTGGAATTGGCATCTCTTCTTCAGCAATGAGCCTCAAGGCATGAAACTCATTCTTTTTATGATGAGGATGCTTTCCTGTCAGTAGTTCTACTATGGTGCAGCCCAGGCTCCATATATCTCACTTTTCTGTTGCTTGCCCAGTCGTGTTAATTACCTCTGGAGCCACTAAGGAATTAGGGTGAGAGACTTACTGTAAAAAGAAGTTCCAGTGAATGTTTGGGTCTTTCGTGCATCAGTAAGCAGAGTTGCTACTCCAAAATCAGCAAGTTTAAATAATTCCATCCTTTGATAACAAGATGTTGGCTCCCTTTATATCTCGGTGAGCTACATTTTTGGAATGAAGATAGATTAAACCATTCAGGATTTGGTCAGCTATAGATACTTTAGTAAATTCTTACTATAAAGAGCAACTTCTGTTTCAGTAAATCCTCCTTTATTCTTCCTGATCTTTTGGAGGGAACCGTTCTCAACATACTCAAGGATGATGTACAAGATCTTCTTCCTGGAGATATTGTCTAGATATGAATAGTACGCTTTGACAAAGCAGAACCTACCAATATATTTCACTATGTTAGGATGGTCTAGTCCTTGGAGAAGATTAATCTCTTTACGGACACTTGTTTGAATATCATCTCCTTCTTTCCCATCCTCATCTAGATCATTTAAACCCACAAAGTATTGCTAGCTTACTGATGATCTTTTTGTTTGGGTCATCCAATACAACTCTATTTAATTGCAACTATTTCGCCAGTCTTCTTATTGATCCCTTTATAGACTTGTGCTGAACCTCCTTTTCCAATAAAATCTCCTTTTTCCTAAAAATAAATGAGAATCTGATTAATTTTGGTTGATCAATCACTTTTAATCAAGAAGGCCAGAAGGTGATAAGATAGTATAATAATATTGGCAGGATGCAGTTTTAGCACTGTAGGTTATAAAGAAGAAGAGTATGCTAAAACAAATATTTGATTTAGCAAATTCTTTCCAATCTTCTACTAATCAAGCTACAAACTTTAAATAATTCCCCACAATCCCCTGCACTCCTAGTTCTGTTGCCTTAAGCAAAGATCTTGGCACCGCATGCTATTATACAAATATTCCAAACAGCCGACCGACTCAGCAATGGACTTTCAGTGAAGTGAGTTCGGCTGCATTCGAAGCCAGTTCCGACTCACCCACAGCGGAGGGTCCTCTGCCAGGCAGACTGACTGGCCTCGGCGCCTCCGCCTGAGCGAGGCATGATAGCAGAGCCTCATTGCTAGTCAAGGAATCAAATATGCGACAGGCTCGGTTGCTATCATTTTCACATTTGCAGTTGCGGCTTTGCCTGGATTGGCCCACCGCTTATTATTATGAACGCGTTACTCGGAAATACTCTGATTCTAATTAGGTGACATACATAGGGTTCCAATGGATTTGTCTTGCTCGTAGCCATAGTTGAATTTGGAAGAAATATAATTATTGTTCAACCCGCGAAATACAATTTGGGGTTTTGGGGTTTTGGGGTTTTGGGGTTTTGGGG